GTCGGCAATGCGGTAGCAAGCACCGCAATACAGCGCGCTAACGTAACGTCATCACATCAGCTCATGCAACCATGCGCATCACAGCAACAACGCAGCGCTTCATTTTCTTTTGGTAACAAAAGTGCGCCTAATGAGCGCTCCGCCGAAAAAGTGTACAGCGCACTAAAGGCGCCTGCTACTTGTGTAGACATTGACACTGACAAGAGTAAAGTAAACAATGCTAATTATGCTAAACACGTAAACGGAAACAATAACAACAATAAGCAAGCGATTTTGAGAAGCGTCTCCAATAGCTTGAATGGTATTTCCACCGACGATGAGTGCTTTGAGGATGCGATAGATTACTTCTATCCCATTCCCATGACACTTGCATACACAAGCAGTAGCAACAACAATGATGAAAATATTTGTAGTAACACTGAAAGCCAATGTCACCACACAAAAACAACAACAACAACTACAACTAACAGCAAAAACACGCAAAAATGTTTTGGTGTCAGTAGCGCTCCCTCTACTGCGCCAGCAGCACCACCCAAACACTCGCGCACCGTTTGCACCAACCGAACCACCAACAATAGCACTAGTAACCCTACAACAACAATAACAACACTTAAAAGCAATTATTGTGCCACAACTACACTTAACACGAAGTCTACTAGCAACACTACTACTACTACTACTACTTCTACTACTCGTACTACTACTACTATTTCACGCAACAGTTCTACTAACTCAAGTCTCACTTCTTCGCCCACTTCANACCGTTTGCACCAACCGAACCACCAACAATAGCACTAGTAACCCTACAACAACAATAACAACACTTAAAAGCAATTATTGTGCCACAACTACACTTAACACGAAGTTTACTAGCAACACTACTACTACTACTACTACTACTCGTACTACTACTACTACTTCACGCAACAATTCTACTAACTCAAGTCTCACTTCTTCGCCCACTTCATCTTCTTCTACCACTTTCTATTCTTATTCATCACTTTCTGCAGCGAATTATATGCGCGCCTGTATAGATGTAAACAAAAATCCAAGAATTCTTCATAACAACGCTGTCAAGTGTTTAAGTCCGTCTCCATATGTGCCCAACAAAATTGCATCGTCCTGCAACAGCAATGCTGCTACTGTTATTACTGCATCCCAGCATCCAAGTGTCAGCTACAAAGATGGCGCATGCCCCCAACCATCGGCGGCGGCGGCGCTTATTTCGCCTCTTTCTCTGCCAGTCGCTTCTACTACTTTGCTGCGTTCGCGCATACCCGGCAACACCCTGTACTATGTTTGAGTTCCTGTGCGTCTAAATGTTTGTCCTTTGGCCGGTCGCCATGCGCCACCATCTGCTCTCCTGATTTTGTAAATTGTCTACATGCGAAAAGTGTGTACAGTCTTTATTTTCCTTTTCATTTCTCTTGCTTTAATTTTTGCTAAATATTCTATATATAAGCGCTTTTCACATTCATTAGCATATGGAGTGGGGCTTGAGGTGTGCAAGTTGGTTCATTCATATGTACATATGTATGTTTGTATATGACAGATATCGGATGTTAAAAATTGTGGTAAAGGTGACACATTATATGAAACGGTAGTGGAGCCTGTTTGTTCGAAACCAAATCCTTTGTATTATAATTCTTGCCCATAATTAAAAAAAAAAATTATATCGAAAATGACTAAAGTTATAATTTCCCGATCTCATATAGTAGTGGAGGTGAAAGGGCATACGCCAAAAATTCCAAAATAATATTTTAAATAAACTAATGCTTTCTTATGCTTGGATATTAAATGACAAACAATTTATTGACAAAGTTAGATATTGGAAGTATTCGTATCATACTTTCAGAATAATAGTCATTCAATCTGTTTCCACTTAACCTTTGGAAACAAAATGCTTTTTTCATTTCAAACTTAATGAAAATTAAGATCATTGCCACTCACTCGATTCATGTGTCATTTCAATGCCTAGTGGCAGTGCGGCGTTATAAATACAAAAACAGTTTTCAAAATAAGAGACATTAAACTGCAAATATCAATATTGATTAGAGTTGTAATTAATTAATATATTGAACAGATCAAGAAGCGTTGCGACCGGTTAGGCCTTGAAATGGTAAAAGTCGCTCGGCACAGTAATTCATATTACTGACTGCGTTCTGAGTTAAACCGGGCGATAATTGTGAGTCCGAAAAAGAAGTGTAACTGAGTTCCCAAATGGTTCTAGTCCTACAGGGACATACGATGAGTCTTCCCTCACCACTTCTTCGACCACCTCATATCCCTTGATTCCGCAGTGACCTGGTATCCAGCAACTGACCTAATTCAATTTAATTGCATTTGCAGTGATTTAAAGACACATCAGTGACTTATGGAATTTTGTTCTACAACTTAATAATTTATCAAAATTCGCTCCCTGTTCTCAACTTTTCACTCGAAAATTCGAGCTTGTGAAAAAATAGAGTTACGAAGCATTGTATAAGTTCCCAATGGAGACCTTTCAAGAGCGACAACAACTAACACAATCATTGATCTAGGCCGAGTTTAGGAAGAGTGCAACAGAAGCATGAACCGGGGCTGGGAATTTTGTAGAGAATTTTCACATTAATATGAGGATTCTGATATACATTTTTTTTCTACACTGGCGGTCTAAAGCGGGAATGGTGTTTTGTTTTTAATATTTACAAATTTTTTCAAGTAAATTTTTTTTGGTTGTTTTCTTATAACGCTTTAATATAATATAATGCTTTAACCGAAACCATATAAATCACACTTTCAAACTTTATACAGAATTTAGAAAATTTCCAAAATTTTTAATCAAAATTTCGAGCTTTTTAAACAGAATATTTATAAAATTTTTGGTCATGCAGTTAGTAGGCTTATAAATTTTTTGTAAAATAAGTGCAAGTTTTGAGTGGCTAAAAAATCGCATTGATATTTAATAATTTTTTTTACGGCGTTTTGCACTTTTTTCCATATAAAAATGAATATCTTGTGCAAGAATAAGCGCAAGACCGTTTGCGGAAAAATTAATAAAGTCAACGCCAGTTTTTCTAAATTTCGCTATTTATATGAAAAAAATTAAAAACAACGCAAAAGCCGTCAGCAAAAAAAAAATATTTATATTAAAAATCAATGCTATTTTTTAGCCACTCAAAACTTGCACATATTTTACTAAAAAGTCTTATTTATAAGCCTACTAACTAACTGCATGCCCAAAAATTTTATAAAAATTCTGGTTAAAAAGCTCGAAATTTAGATAAAAAATTGAGGAAATTTTCAATAAATATGTATGTAGCTTAATAGGGGCTATGGTTAGTAAGAAAGCGGCCTTAGGGCCTTGCGTCGTCCACCGAATTTGGTATTTCTAAGTTAGTAATATAATTCTGTATGAAGTATCGACTTTTGTATATAATTCCTGTATCTTATCATGATGAGTACTTCTTAAATTTATAGGTAAACTATTTCAACGCACAATAACACCGATATCTGCCAAATTTTTTCGAGGTAAAATGCATATTTTAGGTGTTTACTCTATTTAAAAAAATTTTCATCCCTAAATGTGGTTTAAACTTCATGAGGTGTATCCGTTTTCAACATTATAGGGAAATGGCTTGTGGTGTGGGCACATATCGTCATTATAGTTTAACTTATATACTATAATCCTGGTTGGGCTATGCATTATTAATACACACTGTATTACACATAACTCTGAATCAGGAAAAATAATAATCATGCTACACATACCTATAAAATAAGATTTAATACAAAAATACATTATACATATATATATACATGTGTAAATCTTTAAGAAAATACCAGTTTTGCTAGATTTTTTTCGGAACCAAAACTACTACATGAAAATATAGTTCCCAAAAGCTAAAAAGCAAATAAGTTACCAAGACAGAAAATAACAAAATTCCTCGCAAAATTGTTTTTTTTTATATACATGTACCTCTCCTGAAAATTTGTTTCAACCTCAAATTGCAAAGATTAAAAACAAGTAAGCTTCTGGGTAGTCCCTTGTTTGACGCTCTTCCCCTCTCCTTTAGCAGCTTAACATGTCTAGTGTAGTTTCGCTACAATTTGTTGTTGTGTTGCTTATCGAACTGTACAAACTGTATGTATAACATCGGTCTACGCTACATATAACTCACAAATATACTTCCGTAAATACATCATTTTTACGTATTGCCAACTGTAAATAAAACTCGAAAATAATCACGAAAATCCCTATAAAAAGTGATACACATACACGCACAGTTACTCACTAGCTTTTTTGTTTTTGATTTTAAGTATTTGTAATCCGTTAAAAACTTGTTGGTGTCAAAGCAACCCTGATTTTTATAGCTAAGAACCCAAGTTGTTTTTCTTTCTTTGCTTTGACAGAAATCACAATTTTAGTCTATCGATGGCTGAGTGGAAGATCGACCTATCTCGGCAGCCAGTTCGAAAATGCCCTATCTCAGAAAACTTTTTAAGAACGCCCTATTTCAGAATTTTAGTGAATCGGCAGCTGAGATAGGGCGTTCTTTAATCTTTAATTCTGGAGTAGGGCGTTCTCGAAAAGTTTTCTGAGACCACTCAGGTATCGATATGTACATATGTACAAAACATACATACATATGTATAAAAGCTTTTCTTATTTTTTAAACTTTTTTTACATTTTGGCAATTTTTCTACATAGTTAAAAAATTTTGTGAACTTTGCTGATTTCTTTATAACTTAAAAGCCAAATTTTGACAATTTTTCTATACTAGCTTAAACTTGGCTTATCCATTATATTTTTTATTATTGAAAAATATATTTTGGCAATTTTCTATAATTTTTAAAATTTGTTATAATTTAAAAATAAATTTTGGCAACTTTTCTAATTATTATTTTTTTTTAACTTTGCTTATTTTTTTTTAATAATTTTCTGAAAAAGATTTTGGCCATTTCCTAATGTTGGCAAAGTTTCAGCCCATGTTTTAAGGTAAAAATATATTTTAGTAATTTTTCTGTAATTATTCAATCATTTCAATTTTTATTAATTTAAAAATAAATTTTTGGCTATTTTCTCAATTTGAATTTTTTTAAATCTTTGCTAGTTTTATAGTAACTTATAATTTTTTTGGAAGATTTCCTATATTTTTTTATAATTTAAAGAGAATATTTAACAATTTTCCTAATTGATTTTTTTTTAGCTTAAATGTAATTTTTTTATAATTTAAAAATAAACGTGGAAATGTTCCTAAAACTTTGCTTATCTTTATATAATTAGCTATTTTTCTAATAACTTTTTTTAACTTTTGGCTTATCTCTTCATAATTTAAAAAATACTTGGCCTTATTCATAAAAAACAAAGTAGCTTTATAAAAGGTTTATTAATTGAAAATTTTATGAAAACGTCAATTTATAAAGCTCTTTAAACCTACTTTTTTATAAATAAAGGCAATAGAATATAAAATTTTTTAAACCTTGCAAATCGTTTTGTAATTTTGTATAATACAAAAATAAATTTTGAAATTTTTCGTTACTAATTTTTTTAAATTTTATTTATTGATAGTCTAAAGGCAGGTTTCTGGTTTAAAATTTTTCTGATTTTTTCTTATTTTTGGTATTTATATAATAAATATGTATATAATAAAATAAATTTTGAAAATTTTCCCAATTTAATTTTTTTATTATTTTGTTTTTATTTTTTGTAATGTAAAAATAAATGTTTTTTCTTAATGAAAAATTTTCCAGATTTTGCTTTCCTTTTATGATTTTTTTATAATTTACAAATACATTTTCAGAATCTCTGCAATTTTTTTTGTAAGCTGCCTATTTATATAATTTAAACTAAATTTGTTTTTAAATTCAATCAAACTTCTATGTTAAAAAAAAAATGAAAATGAAAATTAAAAAAATTCTTGCCTCAGTTTTATTAAAATTACCTGAAATTGTGATTTCTAGCCTATATATAGCATACCATTTTTCATAGCGTCTCCCTTATTGCTCTAATTCAAAGCCTAATCAAACATTTTTCTCACTCTTTCCGAATCTTTTGCAGATGTAAATTAAATAATTTAACAATAAATAAAACAAAAAATAAAATATCTAATATTTACAATGTGTTTGTGTAGGCGCAGCTAACGGGAAAAAGCGCGTTAAATAAACCAAATAAAAATTCAAAGCAACGTAAAATGAAAAATGTATTTATTTCAAAAAACAATAATACATTAATTTTACGAAACTCCGCGAATGCCAAGATTTTTTATAAAAAAAATAATAAAGCTAACATTACCAAAGCTATTAAAGAAATTATCTGCCTGCTCGCAAGCCGCCTGCCTGTTACGAGTAGCAACACCATTACCACCAACAACACCGCTACTCTGCTACTTTTACTACTACTATCCACTACTA